TGCGGAAGTTTTCCCAAGAGTCGCTTGGTTTGATTTTAGTTGTGGAGGTTTATGTTCTTTCTGTAGAGGAAGTGAAGGAGATCCAAGATCTTTATGTTCTTGATCCCTCGATTCACCTTCGGTCGGTGGCTAGTCGGTGGATAGCCACGAGCGAGCCACGGATAACTTTTTCCCTAACTTGATTTCTTAAAAAAATTAGTTCAAAATGGATATTTCGTTGTCATTATAAAGAGAGTTGTGGTAGATCTTCAATCAATACTGGATCGTTCCTGCCCAAGCTCTTCCAAACTTGGTGGTTATTATCATGACTTTCATTCTCTTCTGTTGAAGGATAAGGATTCTCTAGATGACCAAGTTGTTCAACCATTTCTTCTCGTCCAGAATCAGTTTGGATGGTTACATCCAATTAACCGCTGGCTCCAAGATTTAGCTACTTGGCCTTGAGAACAAGATTAAGGATTGGAAAATGAAGTTTGTGGTTGCCTCCTATGAGTGTGGAGAAAAGAATGTAAGGAATTTCTCTGGGCATCTTCAAGACCACTGGACATTGATCGAGGGTCAACGCTTCTCCCTATTCCACTTTCTTGACCCCGAAGGTGGTCGAGCATATGACTCAATCGGACAACACTGATACCAATGCCATGACTGAAGGCTTGTGGATATCATCCAAAAATCGAGAACTGGATCACGAGAAATGGGCAGCTTCAAAGAAACTGTAAGGAAAATGCGGTCTTTCCCTGTCAAGCAGGGGTAGGGGTCGATTAGATTCCTCTGTCAAGAAGATGTTTGTCCGGATGTAGCTTTGCGTTTGGACTCTGGACGTAATATATTTTCCTGCTGTTGGGCGACTTTACTAGAAGCTGGCATTAGATTAGCCTGTGTTGAATGTTCGTAAGTAGTTTGAATTATTGATTGGGTAATCTCTTAATTTTATTATCAGCTAGTTCCTACGCTGCTAATCAACAGTAGTCATGGACCTGATGTATCCCGACCAGCCCTTGTTACGTTGGCGACGAATTGGTGGCTTTTGAGGCTCCTTCTACATATATATAGTTATAAGTAAGAGAAGTGTCTCTCTTGTCAATCATATCACAAAATAGTATGAACTCCTTTATATTCATGTTGTTTTCATTTTTCAAATTTGAAGCTTCCGAATATTATATTAATTAAGTGGTTGAACAGAATGCAGTGGCTTCTGCTTCATTAAATTGTAGGCAGTCGTTCTAGAAGGCCTATTGAAAAATGTATATCTTCTGGTCACCTATAATCAGACTGTTATTTCCTTGTTGGTTGTACTTATTGCCGGATATTGGTTGCAAATACACGAGGGAGCATTACGCTGCACCATGATGGCTAAGAAAAAATTTTAGAAGAAAGATCACACGATAATATTAACGACGTGTGTCGGAAGATTTATAGTGGTAGAATAATAAATTATCGTGTCAACATAATACAAGAATCCAATACACACACAGAGAGATAAAAGAAGATTTTTACATGAAAAAATATTAAAAAGGGAAAAATTCACAAATTATGGCCCAGTTGAAGTAATTCATTTTGTATATATAAGTACATAGACCTAATCTTCTCCTGAAAATGAAAAGATAGAATTACAAAATTAATGTGCAATGATATTTCAGCAATAATAGTCGTAACTGGACGCGAAGGCTGTAGTCGATTGCTATAGAAGTGATAGTCACATCTGAATATTGCAGACGGTAGTTGTACTGACAGCTTGTTGTGGTAGTGTTGGCCACAAAAAGCAAAATTGATTTACTTTTAATTTCGAGAAAGTCATAAATTCTTGAATGCATCACCTCCTTTTTGTTAAAGAAGAATTTGAAATCAGAAAATACATAATAAAATATAATAAAATTTCTTAATCAAGTCGATGGTTTCTTAATCTATTTCATTATGAATAAAATTTGGTCAAAGCATGTTGACCACAATTTTCTTATTCAAACTTATTCAGCTCAGAGTATAGAATTTCGGCTTACACATTCACTTGTCAACTGATTAATAATTTGCAAAAAATTATTAGTTCTTAGGCAGCCATAATTGATTCTCTTTTTCCTCTTCAAACAGATTCTCTCTACATATTCACATAAGTTATTAGGCCTTCTAAGTTGTAAGTTATCATATTCATTTTTGCTATTTCTTTTTGGAAAAATATTGTTATCATGCTTGATGCTTTCACTTTGAGCCTTCGCAGCTCTGCCATGATGATTATGAGCAAAGATCATAAAAGTCATCTTAAAATATAAATATTGAACCAATCTACAACATTTAGGAAAGGGGTGCAAATGAGCAGAGCAAGCTCGTGAGACGGCTCGAGCTCGATTTGTTAACGAGCCCACTAGCCGAGCTCATTCAGCCACAAGCTCAAGTTCGTGTTAGTTCAACTCGTTGGCTTGCGAGCCAGCTCAACTAGCCTACCAATAGTCATTTCGATGCATTTATCGGCGAGCGCCCGCTGCCTCCTCCTCCTCCTTTGCTGAGCTCCTGTAGAAATTGAGTTCTTAGTTTGAGTTCGGTAGTTGGCTACCACCTGTACGAGCTCAGAGTTTGCCAGATGAGCCAAGCTCGAGCTTTGCATGGCTCAAGCTCAACTCGACTCGTTTGCACCCTTAATATAGGGCAAGTTAAATCTAAACTAACTGTATAATCAGTAGTTAATTTAAATTTTATCACTATTTAAATGAAAAAAATGAACTTAATTTCTTGTGAATTTTGTTCCTTTAAGCAATATGCAAGTGTCAAACACATGGAGCTAATACGTTGGACCGCCATAAACTCCATTGACGTATAATTAAATGGCTGAGTGGAGCAGGTCAAAACTTTGTAGCTGTATGCTTTGATTATTGTAGATGTATTGCATTTTCTATTTTCGTATTTTATTTGTTTATTTGGCTTGAAAATTCCGCTCTTCGCTCGGTCGGCGTTTTAATGTGTGGCTATGCGAAAATTTCGCTGGCGCTGTTCTCTCTCTCTCTTTATATATATATATATTATATACTCACAATTTTTAAACATTTTTATTTTTTAAATAATTTTATATCTTTTAAAAAATAAAACAATGATAAATTAAAAATAAAGACATCACCAATCATGAAATAAGATATAAGTATATTTTCGTAACAAATAATGATATAAAACTGATGTAAATTAAAATTTTATTTAACATTATGATTCAAATGTAGTTGTCCAATCCTAGTTGGACGATATGAGGGTCTATTTGGGACAACTCATTTGATGCGGTGACGTTTTAAAAATGCACCTGAATTGTTTGAGTAAACTGAATTTTCAAAATGTTCAAAACAGTGTTTTCACACCGCAGCTATCTAGGTGTGGTGATAGCTTTCTGGCAGCGGTCTGGCTTTTACAAAACAATAAAAGTTTATAATACCCACCGCACCGAGTTTATCAGCAGATTATTTTTAATAAGCTTATCGGCAGATTATTCAATAAGCTGCAGCTGCCCCAAACAGACCCTCAATTTGACATGCTTGTGATTAAAATGTAAATCACAGATCATGCACATGAAAGATCAATATTTATGAAAACAAAATAAAGTAACAAAAAATGTAAAAGCTTTTAAGAAAATAATAGAAAACAATTAATATCATAATATTCCAATAAAAAAGTAATTTAAAAAAAATTAAATTGTAATATATGAATAAAAAATAAAATTTAATTATACCCATTTCAAAGAAAATTTAATCCAATTAAATTTATATTGATTACAAAATTATCGTCAAATCTTTTTTTTCCCAAAGGACAGACACTTAAAATTTATTTAAATAAAATAAATTTGGAAGAGTACCATAAATATTTATATAAAAACATTATTAAAATAAAAGAATTTTCCACCCGTTAATTAAAGTAGAATTTAAAAAATATTATAAGATTCGGGCATTTACATAAAGACCACTTAATTCTTATGAATTTAAATATCTAATCCCAAAACTTATATTTTACATTAGGCCATCCAAATATTTCACACTAAAGATATCACTATCTTAACTTTTAACAGGTGAAATATCCATTTTCATACTTCGATAAGGTGATATGTACGTAAAAATTGAGGTTTAGGTATTAGATATGTAAATACATAGGAATTGAGAGGTATGTATGCAAATTTTCCTTTTAAGTTTTAAGAAAATACTTTCCAAACATACAATTCTTATGTGTTTACATATCTCATACCCACACATTCATATATTTGTATCTATGTATCTATATGTCAATGTATTTGTATGTATATGCATGTATCTATATGTATATTATATTTCTATACGTATATACCTATATATGTGTATTTATTTGTATGTATTTGTAAATACATGAGAATTGAGAGGTGGTATGTATATCTATGTATTTGTATGTATCTGCATGTGTGCATCTCTATGCATGTATATGTGTGTGTGCATCTGTATGCATGTATGTGTGCATCATGTATTTGTATGTGTTTCTATGTATATGTATATATTTATATGCATGTATAAATATGTGTCTACGTTTTAAAAGATATATTTTATTTCTTAAAATTAAGAGTAGTGCTATTTTTATATTAAATAATTTTTTTAGTTTTATGGGTGTAAATATGAAAGTTTGGGGGCTCATTAAAATGTTATTATTCTATCTTATCTAATACATGTCACATACGGTTTTTTATACAAATAAATATTTCGGAGTATAGGAAACGTGTAATTTTCAAGCGTGATTCATTGTACACGTGTCTGATCTCAGGAAAAACACGCACCTCGGTTGCACCCTTCGTTGCTAAGCTCCCTCCCGCCTTGAATCATGGCCGTTCCAAATCAATAAGTTTTCAAAGAAGGGAATCAACGGCCTCGATTCGTCATTACAAAGGCTCAAGTACCCTCAGCCTATTTCCACAATTGCCCCAAAAATGTCCATTAATTTACTGTCTTGCCCAAAGAATCCATCTATAAATTGCTCGCCGGAGGTATGCTAGGTTTGAAAAAACTTAAACCAGGAGCGCCGCTATAAGCGACTGCTTCCTCTCTCGCTCACTAAGCAGTGTCTGTAAGGACATGGAGGCAGCCTCTAGAGCCAGGTCAAGCTGTCTGGTTTCACCTGTTACAAACCGATTTCAAAGTTCGATCTCGCCGGCGGGACGATTCTCCTCTTCTTCGCCGGGATATTCCTCCACCAAAGCCTTTGCAAGCTCGTCTTCGAGCTTCTCCTCCCCATCCTCTACCTATTTGCATCGCTCTGCCTCCCCAACCCGCGTAAACCTCACCGGATCTGTTCTTCAGAACCACTCCATCCGCTTCTCCCTCGATCGCTCCACCTCCCCTGGCCGGTCTATCTCCGTAGTCAGCAACCGCGATCTTGTCGTCCGAGCTTCGATTTCCTCCTCCGGCAGCCGGAAAACCTGCATGTGCTCGCCAACCACTCACCCTGGCTCCTTCCGCTGCAGTCTCCACAAAGGCCAGAAACATAATCCGTCTGCAGCGGTTTCGTCTCCATCGAATCGGTTAAATGCGCGGCGATCAGCCATGACTAATTCACTTGTCAGGATCGGCACTGTCGAGGGTGATTTAGTCAAGAGAGCGCTCTCGGCTCTGATTCGTCCTTCATCGCATCGGCAACGGAGAAGAGCAGACTTCCAGCCGCGTCCTAGTCGGCTCTCCAAGATGTCTATGGCCGATGATCAATAAAGCAGAGCAGATCGTTGATTCGAGAGTAGGTTTTGTTTTGCTCCGATTCCCTTTTAGCCTTGTCCTCTTTGTTCCCTTGCGGTGGCTACTCTTCCGAGCGGAGGCACCGAATCTTGGGGTGCATCGAATCTTGGAGTTCTTTTACAAATTTGCTTGTTTTTGTACTGAAAATTTTCATAGAAGCAAGTGAAAGGGCAGAACGGATCAAATCCGCTCTACTAATTAGATAGATGAACTGTTTGCAACCACGGAATTAGTTTGGAATCTAAAAATCCTAAATATAATGAGAACATGGGTACTTGAGTACTAATTATAATTAATGACATCAAAATCTCAATTAACTGGATAAAAATTAATCAATTCTGGACTATTTGTCATAATTTAAAGCTTGAATGATGTTTTAATGGATCGTCGTTTCCGTTGCAGTTGATTCATCCGTTTTTCCCGTTCAGCCGTAAACCTACGTCGACTTTCGTCGTTTGGGTACTTCGGTGCGTTTACTTCGGCGTTAAGTTCTCCTTCGCCGTCATGTTTGAATTAAGCGTTTGGCATCTGGTTTTGTTGAGGTAAGGCGTTCCATTTTGTTATCTGTTTAATTTGTTTGTTCTTTGATCGGTACGTTGCGTATTGATGCAGGATTGGAGGATCGACAGCCGACGATTACTGTGAAACTCTGTCGTTCATTGTATCTTCCAAATGGATGGCAATCAAAATTTTACTGGTGGACAATGAAATAAAACAAAATAATTGAGCATTTTTTAAATCAAAATATTTACTTGATATTCAAATAATAATCAACCAAACATTTAATATTATATTTTAATTATTTAAATTTTAAATATTTAAAATATTATATTTAAAATTTAGGTTATATATTTTGGATGGTTTGTATGTCAAAAACCCAATATTTAATGTTTCTGGTAGAGAAAGTGCTAAATAAATGGGAAGGGTGGACCTTGGCAAATACTTATTTTTTTAATAAATATTTAATTGTTTTAGTAAACTGGTATTATAAATGGGAAGTTTAATGTGATAATATTTTTAACATTTTAAGATGTATGATATGAATATAATATGAGAAGTAGAGGAGACGGAGTTGGAGAAGCTTCAAATATTGAAGCCCTTGATCTAATTTGTTTGTGGAAGGGTGTGCTGAATAAATAAAGACGAATATAATTACTTAACAAAAAATAAGAATGGATGAAAACAGAGAATCAAACGGAAGATGTTCAGAGACAAAAGCTTAGGGCAATAGATCAATTAAAGCTGACAAGTTATTTTTTTGTATTTTTATATGGTAGGCGTATTGTAGAAGACTATGTATGTAATTTAAAGTTTTTAAATTTCAAAATTTAAGATTGGGGATATGAGTTAAAATTTTAAATGGAGGAAAATATTATTGAATTTTGAACATAATTAATTTGTTGGTTTAACAAATATAAAAAATTTAAATGCCAGCTCCACTTGTTGAAAGTAATAGTTACATTTGGGCAACCACCTCTTCACTCTTCTATTCATTTTGGTCAAATCGGCTTTTTTTTTTCGAAATATAAGAATACCACTGGTAATTGCTGGAATGAGAACAAAAATTGATATTTAGTTGTTAAAAAATTGAGGTTTCATTCTAGTATGAGAAGGTTTGGTTGACAAAAAAAAAAAAGTGTAAACATGGTCTCCAATCATTTTAGTCCCTTACTTTTAAAGAGTATCAACTATCAAATTTGTCTCCAATTATTTTAAGAGGTCTATGTAATCCCATTGTTAGGTTAAAATTAACAGAGGAGCATGCATATCACCTACCAAAGAGTCTAGGGTTTTTCAATGTCTTATTATAATTTATAGATTTTTTTATATGAGAATTGATGCGTCATCAACAATTTTTCATCATCTGACACGAATCTCGGTCAACACACGGATCTCATAGCAATCTTTTGAGAAAGTCATCCAAAAAACCAATTTCAGTAAACTTACAATCAAATTATTCGGCTCAACAAGATAGATCTAATGAAATCAAAACCGGTCCAATTTGTCAAATCCAGATTAACTCATTAAACCATTTTTTGGAAGTTTTCCAACCATATTTGTAAGTTCAAGTAGATGCCAAATTTGGTGGTTTATGATCAAATCGAATATCTCGACAAGACAAATTTAATGAATCCAAGATCGCTCAATTTCGACATCGTTAATGCACTCAAATGCCCATTAAACACTGTTTGGTCAAGATAATATCTTCAGGCCATCTGATTGGTTCAAATTCTTTCATTTATTGGTCGGGACTATATAAATAGGATCACACCCCTTTTAGACAACTAGAGAGATTTTAAGGCTAGAGGAAGAGCTTAAAATCCAACATCGCTCATATCACCGTTGACCACCGTCAACCACCACTTACCGGCCACCGTCGATCACTATTGATCGTCGCCTATTTCTTGTAATAAATTTCTCCTCGCATCAACATTGTAACTTGGGAGAATTTGTAACACTTGCTTGTATATGGGACAAAATGTTGTATTTATAATATTCAGTTTGTAATAAATCTTTTCAACTGAGTTATGTCCTTGGTTTTTTTTCCATTACGGGGTTCTCACGTAAAAACATATGGTGTCACTACTAGTTATTTTTTTTCTTGTGAGTGTGTGTTGTATCTTTTTAACACGTTAAGATGATAATCTATTACTTGTTGCTGCAAATTTTTTAGCACGTATCAGTTTGTCGACGTATGTGAAAATGAAGTCTTGTTCAACACTGTCTTCAAACCTATGAAACCGAGCCCTTCATTGTTTTCTAATGATGTATATATCCAACCGAAGATGAAACCTCCTTTGCATCTTGAGGATTATCTCTTAAACATTTTTCAATGTGGGCTTCAATCTTCACTGCATTCTTGAATGGTCGTTCACGTTAATGTTTTGTGCATGACGTCTTTCACAACTTTTTCCAGGCTGGGAGACAACATGTACTGCAGTCGAGAAATTTCGTTCATATTAACGTCCTCGGCAAGACTATGGTAAGATAGTAATGTCATATTTCATTTAGAAATCAATTTCCCGAGAACTGCTTCTAAGCTGGGGGCAACTCCACAAATAACACTTTCTCTGTGTGCCACATCATCCACGTCAATGTTCCGGACATGATTGTGGTGGGGTTGTCTTCTCAAATCGTATTCATTCATAAGTTTTACAACTTCTTCCAGGTTGGGAGGCAACCTTCACTGTAGTCTAGAAAGGTTATTCGTATTAACGTCTCGACCAAGACTGCGGTAGGGCAGTCATCCCATGTTTCATTTAGACATCAATTTCTCGGGAGCTGCTTCCAGACTGAGGGGCAGTTCCACAAATAACACTTTCTTTGTGTGCTCTTGTCATCCTGAAGTTCTTCCTCAACCGTGTCAAGAAACTAACCTCTTCAAGTTTCAATAGATGAACTGTTGCACAATATCGTGTGGAAAAAATGCTTGTCGGAGGAATAAAGAATTCAAAAGTTGTTACTAGCAAGTTGTCAAACATCATTATTGAGTATAGTTGCAACCACATTTCCAAGAAAAAAATACGGTCCTTACTAGAAAACTCCATAAAATCAAGTGGTTGACAAGGTCTCCACTCAAAGGCCTCAGAATGCTACAAGTCTAAACAAACACAGGTACATCAAAGAGCTTAGTTTGCTACAAGCCCAAGCAGACACTGATACATCATAGCCTTTAGAAGGTTATAAGCTTCAGAAGGAAAATGTACATAAAAAATTTCAGAAAGCTACGCGCCTTAGAATGCATCAGTTCGTTTTAAGCTCCTATAAGGCATAAGCTTAAGAAGGTACAAGCCTCTGAAGATACAAACCTAAGAGCGCACAACCTCAGATGACATGAGCCCAAAAGATGTCGACATCAATAATACTTCATAAGTGAAACAGTGATAACCCAAAAGTTGTGTAACATAAGTGAAACAACGATAGCCCAAAAATTGAGTAACAATACTCTAGAAGTGATTGCAGACTTCCGCATGATTGAGATGTCATAAAAAAATCAAAGAAACTACTACAGTTTAGAGGAACAAAAATGGCCTGATATTGTTTTGGAAAAAAATTAGCTTTTTGAGTGACAAAGTGGTGGGATTGCCGACTCTCATCGATCGAGGATATTCTTCTCCCCTGGATATGTTGTGATTTACGATGAAACTTTGCGAAGTGGCATATAGTTTCCACCAGTGTCCAAGCTGATGGGTATTCTAAAAGCTGCTACATTTATCATTTGTCGGTCGTTAATAAATTTAAAAAGTGATAATAGGATATATATATATATATATATATATATATTAAAAGAGCAGCTCGTGGCTCCTTATGCGTTAATATAGAAAGATGTTACAAAATAAGGAAGGGAAAGTAGATCCCCAACTAAAAGCAAAAAATACATTAAGGTTTTAGGGGTTCCCCATTCCACAATATAACTCCACCCAAAAGGAAACAAAATGGTATAGTATACCCAAAAATACATGTTACTCAAAATAGTATTCCAAAGAAAAGTATACCCAGAACGACCAAACATATATATATAAAGTAGGGTTTTAAATTTTAGAAAGGTAGGAAAAACATTGTCTCATATGTTCGATATTTTGGATCAAACGAGCACCACCACCAAACAATGCATCTATCTAGAAGGGTAGACACATCATTTGAATAATGAGGCTTGATTAAATAAACTAAAGAATTTATGACATCCGTTTGGTTAGCAAAATCATTTTTTATAAGCCGACAAGTTCCTCTATTTAATATGAAAGATTAAATAGAGTTTATATTAAGCTGGATTCTTAAGTTCCCTATAGAGGTAAACAACTATAGTTAATTTCATCTTAAACGACCGAAGTCACCTAAGAATACTGTCGATTAAGATCAGTGGTTTTGCTTTAAAAAATTTCAAAGTTCAAGTTTTCAAGGATGGACATAGGAAAGTCAAAAGAGAATGACTCAAAATAGGAACAGTTTATTTTGCGATTCAAAGGAACGAAGAAGTAAGAAATGTCACAGACTTTGAGAAGAAACTCAAATGACTTCCCAAATATCATATTTGTTTGGCTTTAATTTTGAGGAAATATTATTAAATGTTTCATCAAGCTAATTTTATTATTTAGGGCTTACACTTGCATGACAGGTCATACAAATAGATTAGAAGACAGAAAGATTTATATAGTAACTAACGACAACCTCAGAGCTTAAAGCTAATTAGAGCTTAAATTGCACAACACAATCGTGCAAAAGCCTAAAGGTGAGTTGAGGATTTATGTCGTACTAGACGGACTACCTCAAAATCCTATGACATATTATTTAATTCTAAGGAAATGTATGTTGTTGTAGATCTGTTTGCTTTCTCAAAGTTATTTTTTTTGTACATTTTTGTCATGCTGCCCACGGTGTTAGCTTCAAGCTCCTCGTCGAAGTGAGAGCTCCAAATCTTAAGGTTTAAGATTTTACATTTTATGTGACAGGTTTTGTTATTCTTCAGCTGTCATGCGGGGGTTAAAGTTAGTTAGAACGACACCGGTTAGGTTCTCACGGTTCCCTCATTTCGGTATTACTATTTTCTTTTGAATTTACTTAGTTTAAATAACTGGTTAAACTTATTTATACTCGGGAGATCTCGTTAAGAACCGCGGGTTATCTCATCCGAGGGACTCCCGTAAATTTAAAAGGACGTATTATGTTGTTTTTTGTTTTAAAAATGCTTAAGTTTAATTTTGAAGAAAGTTTA